GGCGGGGGGCATCCCCCTGAAGCCTCTTCTTCTCTTTGCTCATGCAAGTGGTTCCTTCTGTCCCCGCAGGCTGCAGGCGTCCTGCACACCTTCAGGTGGTCGTTCCCCTCTCTGCCTGTGCTCGCAGCGTCTTACAGGCCTCCTGAGCACTAAATCCAGGCAGCCCCGTGCTGAGAGCAGGGCAAGGCAGGTCCCTGTCCCCCTTTGCCACCCCCTGCGTGTCCTTAGTGGGCAGCTTCCCCTCTCCCCTTCGCTGTGGGCGAGGAGGTGACGCTGCTCCTGGCGAGGCAGAAGCTGCAGGAAGAGCCGCGCTGGGATGCTGGAGGTAGCTCAAGGGAGAGCTTTGGCTGCAGGGTTTCCAGCTCGCTTCTGCCTCTCCAGCCCCAGCTCAGCGACGGGTACCATGGTCCTGCTCCTGTGGGCAGTGTATCTCCCAGAGCAGGAACCGAGGGGGGGCTTTTAGCTCCCTGCCCTGCCCTGGATGCATCAGCAAGAGCTTGACCACGTCCCCTGGTGCTTTCTAGGTCGTGTCCTGGCCGATGATAAAGCCAGAGCTGCATCACTGGGATCTTTGCCTGCTTCACACCTAGACTGCAGAGTGGCTTTGTCGTTCGTAGCCTCGCGTTGTGCTAAGCTCTGTTTTTCTTTCTCAGTCAGATTCAGAGGAAGATGAACCAACAAAGAAGAAAAACACTCTTCAGGTAAATCCCGGGGAGATTTCTCCCTGGAGAGAAGCATTGGTGTGGGGCAGATCTTGGGCTTCCCTGGTACAAATGAGCCCCTTTAGCAGTGGCTTTTAGCGTATAAAATTCCTGATCTCCCCTCAGGGATTGCCCTCTTTTGGGGCAGTTTCTTTCCTCTCGGCCTCGAAAAGCCCAGCACTACGCTGGGAGCTTGGCATCTCTTTGCAAAGAGCACGTTTCCCTGCACAGCCCCGCTGGCCTTTTGGGCGAGAAGGCGCCCGCAGGGTGTTCAAAGCAGCAACTGCTTGTGCTGAGCAAGGGGAAGGCCAGGAGCGGAGGCAGAGGAGCGGGTGGGCAGCAGAGCTCCCGAGTCTCACTCGTTCCTCTTCTCTTTTCTCTCTGGGAACCATCTGCCCCACCTCAAACCGTGCAGGGCCGCGGCGAGGGCTCCGCTTTGTCCGCGCTGCTTCCTCAGCCCAAGAACCTGGCAGTGAAGGAGACCAATCGGTTACTTTTGCCCTACTCCATCTCGAGGAAAGCAGGAGAAACCCCCTCTGACTCCAAAGCTAAAGCCCCGACCTCTTCCTCCAAGGCAAAACCTCTGTCCAAGCCCGCAGTGCCCACGACTCCTTCTCCATCCGCTATCAAAGCCGCTGCCAAGAGTGCGGCCCTGCAGGTAACCAAACAGATCACGCAGGAAGAGGAGGACAGCGACGAAGAGGTCGAGCCAGAGAACTACTTCTCCTTGTCCGACAGGAGCGAGCCCAGCGCGGTGGGTGCTTACACCTACGTGTACTCTGGCGCCGCGGTGCCGGAGGACCCGCCGCCCGGCACGGAGCCGGAGCCCCACTTCCAGGACGCTGCTGCCAACGCGCCTCTGGAGTTCAAGACGGGCGCAGGCTCCAGCGGGGCTCAGCACAGTTGGGTGCCCAAGCCTGGAGAAGACTACAGCAACCAGCCC